GCCGGTTGAGCTATAGGCGCCGAGCCGATTGTATTTCTTAATATATAAATATTAAGACTCCTCCACCCCAAGGGGCTTATTGGGTTACAGCGCTGGAAATCATGGCACACATCTGGTAGCCTAAAGGTGCGACCAGTAGAGGGAGCTAGTGCACAAGATCATAAATCTGGGTGTACCTCACTTTATTTTTACATTTATTTATTTATTCATTTAGTAGAGACAGCGTCTCATTTTGTCACCCTCGTTAGAGTGCCATGGCATCACATAGCTCACCGCAACCTCCAACTCCTGGGCTTAGGCGATTGTCTTGCCTCACCCTCCTAAGTAGCTGGGACTACAGGCGCCTGCCACAACACCCAGCTATTTTTTGTTGCAGTTTGGCTGGGGCTGGGTTTGAACTCACCACCTTTGGTACATGGGGCTGGTGCCCTACCCACTGAGCCACAGGTGCCGCCCTATTTATTTATTTATTTTTGAGACAGAGTCTCACTATGTTGCCCTTGGTAGAGTGCTGTGGGGTCACAGCTCGCAGCAACCTCAAACTCTTGGGCTTAAGTGATTCTCTTGCCTCAGCCTCCCACGTAGCTGGGACTACAAGGCCCGGCTATTTTTTGGTTTCAGTTGTCATTGTTGTTTAGCAGGCCCAGGCCGGGCTAGAACCCGCCAGCCTTGGTATATGTGGCCATTGCCCTACTTACTGAGCTACCGGTGCTGAGCCAAGTATACCTCACTTTATAAGCTTAGATAATAGATATGTCCCCTCTAGGTATGTGAAAATTAAAATCTTATAACTCAGGGGAACTTTTCAGTGAAATAACTCTGATTTTTTTTTTACTTTGAGACAGAGTCTTACTCTCTCCCCCTGGGCAGAATGCCATGGGGTCGTCATAGCTCATAGTGACCTCAAACTTGTTGGCTTAAAAGATCCTCTTACTTCAGTCTCCTGAGTAGCTGGGACTACAGGAGCTCACCACAACGTCTGGCTAGTTTTTCTATTTTATTTTATTTTAATTTTTTTAAATTTTTGATATTCTGAGATCAGAGTCTTTGTCACCCTTGGTAGAGTGCCATGGTGTCATAGTTCACAGCAACTTCCAACTCCTGGGCTCAGCCTCCTGAGTAGCTGGGACTACAGGTGACAGCCACAACATCTAGCTATTTTTTAGAGATGGGGTCTCACTTTGGCTGGTCTCTGAACTCTTAAGCTCAGGCAATCCACCCGCCTTGGCCTCCCAGAATGCTAGGATTACAGGTGTGAGCCACCATGCCCTATCTAGTTTTTCTATTTATTTATTTATTTTTTTTTT